TTTTCGTCCTACGCTTGGTTTGAACATAACCTAAAGTGTAGTATTTTAAAGACTGTGTTAGTGGGCCTAGCATGACGAGAATGATGAACTCAGTGATTGTGAATGTGTAGGCCTACACCAGAAGAAGTATGTAGCAGAAACTGCAAAACATGTTTCATTATACCTGTTTCCTAAAAAATAAAGAAATAAGTATAAACGAGCATACGAACTGTTTTCTTCTTGGCGCGTAAGTAAGAAAGTTACAAAATTACTTGTTTATTCTGCTTATACTGATTGTTACTATAGGAGAATATTGTAGTTTGCTTGTTTGTGGAAATATTTTGATTAAACTCGGAAAATTTATTTACTAAAAGACAAACTTTATTAGTTTCCTTGTAGCAGCAAACCTAGGTACTCGTTAAACCTAATGTTATTTAAATTTAACTGAAAATTTAGACAAATTAGTCGGCAGGTTTTCTGGGGCAGGGGTATTATAAAAGAGTTACTTATTGAACAAAATATGTTTTGCTTCTACCATTGTCCTGGTATCACTGGACAAAAAAAGGTGGTGAAGCCCACAAACAATTTTTATAAATGATTACCTCACCTCTCCTAAAATCATGTAATTTAAAAACGTAACGTAATCTGGATTTCATTCAAACCAAATCATCACTAATAAGTTACTATTAAAAATGCAATTATATTTTTACGGCACACTACATTATTTTGACGAACTTCCCACGCAAGGATTTAGTCCAGAAAACAGCTGTTTGCCGCCAGCTTATTCAAATGGGGTTTCATTGCGTAATACTGTTCTGCAATGAGTTTTACCGGACACCAATCAGCTGATTATACTGTATTTGCGTGGCAATGATTGGTTATAAACAAAAACGTAACCTCTCTTACAGGTTATGACTGACTGGTGATGTTTAGTCCTTTAGTTTGGTGGAAATATATAAGGATTTGTACGAATTAAGTAGTATGGCGTAAATTATCGTACGTAACTCGTCCAAAATGTGTGTACCGGACTCGTATGGTATAATCACGTACTCGACTTCGTCTCGCACGGGAACGACCATACTCGTCCGGTAAACACTTATTTTCAGGATTGGTAACGTAATATACTATTTCAAGTAGGCCTACCCATGTCCCATTAAAACAATTTTAACCAAGAGCCTAATATGTGTATGATAACTGTATGGCTAATAATGGTGACAACTTAATTGTTCACGCTATGTTGTCCCGTCCTATCAGATTGAAATCCCACGTTTTCGATTAGGGGACAGCCCAACTCCACGCGGTGATCACTTTTAGTGTATATAGTACTATTCCACATCCACACGTGGCTACATTTAATATCTACGCTACCTTGTTGTGTGGATGAGATATGAAGACTTGAATATACGAGGCATGTTTTTTAAGTAAGTACCGTTTTTAAATTTCTCCGTTCCAGCACTGCTATTGTAATTTTTGACATTTGCGCTGTGTATGGGCATCTACTGATAAGACCTAGCCAGAAATTCGAGAACAATCGGCCGTGTTTACATCCGGATTTGAGCATTCAAAATGGTGCCACCAATTGAGACTGCCACTGACTGTGAAGTGCACGCTGTAATTAGATTTGTAAGTGCTAAAGGTGTGAAAAACATTGAAAATCATCGACAGATTAGTGAAATGTATGGCAAGAACATTAAGAGTGACGGAATAGTACGCAAGTAGGTAAGGGCATTTTGACGGCCCCACCAACGTTCATGATGAGCAACGCACTGGGTACGGGGACAGTAATGACGCCGCTCAGTGCATTTATCATCATGAACTTTGGTGGGGCCGTATTTAACTGCCCTTATCCACTTGCGTACCATTATGGCAATCATAATGTTCTCGCCATAAACCTCACTAATCTGTCGATGATTTTCAATGGTTTTCACACCTTTAGCCCTTAAAAATCTAATTACAGCGCGCACTTCACAGTCGGCGGCAGTCTCAATTGGTGGCACCATTTTGAATGCTTGAAACCGGATGTAAACACGGCAGGTTGTTATCGAATTTCCGGCTAGGTCTTAGGCCCCGTTTATGCACCAAGAGCGGGAGCGATTTCTAACACCATTGAGTTAAATGGGGCTGTTTATGCACGAAGAGCGATAGCGATAGCGGTTGACCTCCCGCTGCGGTTTCTAATTCGCCCGCTGTGTAGTTAGAAATCGCAGCAGTTGCCTGGAATAGAGCGGTTTTCAACTACATTGAGTCAAATGGGACTGCTTATGCAAGGCGGGAGCGGGAGCGGTTGCAGCCAGGGTTGCCTATTTGACCCACGCGCACGTGCACTTAGGACAAATAGTTGAGTTAATTATTTGGCAGAGTTTGAGTTGGCAAGACTGTGTCCCCCTTCCATTCTCCTTTAGCCAACCGCTACCGCTATCGCTCTTCGTGCATAAACACTAAACAGCCCCATTCACAGCGGGAGCGGGCCCGCTATCGCCCCGCTCCCGCTCTTGGTGCATAAACGGGGCCTTACCAATAGATGCCCAGACATAGCGCAAATGTCAAAAATTCCAATCGCAGTGCTGGAACGGATAAATTAAAAAACGGTACTTACTTAAAAAACATGCCTCGTAAAATATTCCACATATACCGTGTGTCCCAAAAGTATAATGTTAAACTTTTATTTGATCATAGCTATTTTATTCATATGACAGGTTAGATTGGGCTAGGTTAGATAATGTAGTTCATGTTATTGATTATGTATTGTAGACTTTGGAACATATAAATTCACATCCACTCTTTCTCAGGGACTTTTTTTCAACACTGCGCGGAGTTGGACACGTGCCGCGAGGGACCCGAAGTGACCACCGCGCGGAGTTGGACAGTCGGTTTTGACAGATTTCTGACCACCGCGTGGAGTTGGGATAAGCCCTTCCATTCAAACTAATTCATCGCTAATAATATGGGGGCTAATATAAAAGCTAGTAAATTCCCTATTAGCTTAGGGAATTTCAATACAGCTATGGCAACCATGGGACCTACAGTTTATAGTGGAATCCGAACCACATTTTTGCCTTGGTATATACGAATTGGTCTAATTATCAGGATAGTACTGCGGATAGTCGTAGTACTCACTAGTGCGGACGTTACTCCACGCCAGAAAGTATCGCATCCACAGTGCATGCCTATAAATATCCACAATTCGTGACCTCCAAGTAGCCGGATTACAGGACGACACCACCCGTCCCAGTCAATTATTCATTGTCAGATTAGTGAAGTGCATGGCGAGAACATCATGAGTAAAGGAAACTCCTCAGATAATGATGAGATGGTAAACCGACTGTTCTCTCTCACTTTTTCATCGACTTTACGCACCAAGTCATTAGTAATTACAGATGGCCGCCCAGTAGCCGTTCATCATGAACGTTGGGTCAGGGTGCGGCCATCTCCTTTAAATGCCCTTATCCACTTGCGTACCATTCCGTCAATCATAATGTTCTGGCCATACACTTTACTAGTCTGTCGATGAATGTCAATGGCTTTCACACCTTTAGCACTTAAAAATCTAATTACAGCGCACACTTCAGAGTCGGCGGCAGTCTCAATTGGCGGCACCATTTTGAATGCTCAAAACCAGATGTAAACACGATCGATTGTTGCCAAATTTCCGGCGCAGGCTTGCCGATAGGTGCACATACAAAGCACAAATGTCCAAAATGCCAATCGCAGCGCTGGAATGGAGAAATTTAAAAACGGCACCTACTTAAAAAAAACATGCCTCGTATCCTATCGTAACAACCTGACGAGTGACTTTGTTCTGAGGAACACGTCTTTGGGAATTATGAATGAAATACGAGTAACGTTTGTGCACAATGAATTAAAATAGCTACTTCCCTGTAGGGAAATTCGCTAAAACAGCTCCAATGATTTCCTCAAAATTATTAGAATATCTTCGTAGGCATACTAATAATTTTGAAACTGTGGTGGAGCATGAAAGGATGTTTTGATAAGGTTTGGCCTATAATGTTAATCGTGGGGGGTATTATGGTGTCAGTAGAAACAAAAATCGATTCATACCATACTATAACTATCCCAGTAGTACTGTATGGTTGATGGTTCAGAAACTTGGGCTTATTCAGAAAAGTGGCAGGGAATATGAGAGAATGGGAGGTCTGAATCCTTGTAAGGTTTCAGTGGCCACGGATACCTAGGTACGGTAAGTGATAGTATGCAAATTTGATGGTGGTATGTAGTTACTAATCAAAAAAAGTGTTTGTGAATCGCCCAGCAATCTCACTTCAAGGCTCTTTAACAACATTGCTGTTTTATTGTAAAATTGTCGGATTTAAAATGCACATCGTAGGCCTATAAACGGGTGAAAGAAATATGGGTCACTTGACATTTGTTTACAAGATGATTTTCCCCATCACTGCCAGAATTTGACTTTATGCGTGTAAACCATAGATCTGTATATAATACCTTTAACTATTTCAATGATAATACGTTGTATTATAAAATATAGAGATCTATGGTGTAAACTAGCTGTTTTTAATTATATTAATTTTTAAATAGCTACTCGATTCCTGTACGAAGGATGGGACAACCCGGGGTTAACAGTTCGTAATTATTTAGTTCGTATATATATGCCTAATAGATTATTATAAGAATTAGGGTTATAATAAGAATCCAGGAGGCATCTTAACGAATAACAAATCAATACATTATCTTCCTATTATACTTCCAAATAAAAAAAAAATACTTGATATTTACTTTAAACCAAAGTCGTTGCTTATTTTGAATAATAAATCAATAACATCATGTAGCTATCTGTCTTATCAAAAATGGATAAATACGATCCAGACATAAAGAAATACGCATATCATGAAGACACACGCGTTTTATACTATATCATTGGTGGAAATATAAAATCAAAGACTAAGCATTCTTAGTTCAATGTTTGTCAGTATTCTCCCCGGACCTGTGGCGATGGGCACGCAACATACTGTATTATTGTAAAGTTATCTGTTTGGTTGCTTATTTACAACACAACAACACTGTATTTGAGTTTGATTTTTACATTCTACCTTTGACTGATTCTACTAAGTAGAAAAGTTGACATTAAAGATTTGTATTATTGTGAAACCTAAACTAATGTTTATAAACATGTTTTCTCTCTCGAAATTAGTCGTTCCCGCTGCGAGGTATGCTGTAGTACGTCCCAGCATTGCAAATGTAATGCCTCCAAGCATTACCAATTTGAGGCCTCAAAGCATTGCCAATGCAAGGCATCTAAGCATTGTTAATGTTAAGCCTATTAGCATTGCCATTACTGAAGTAGATCGGATGATGAGTCGACCCTCGCCAACACTACCCGTCAGTCTATTGCCCTCGAAGAGACAGTTCCAAACCTCATCCACCATCAGAGACATCGACTCGGCAGCCAAGTTCATCGGTGCTGGAACTGCGACCATCGGAGTAGCTGGTTCAGGAATGGGAATTGGAGTTGTCTTCGGTGCACTTATCATCGGCTACTCTCGCAACCCTACCCTCAAGGCCCAATTGTTTTCCTATGCAATCCTTGGGTTTGCTCTCTCAGAAGCCATGGGACTGTTCTGCTTGATGATAGCATTCCTACTTTTGTTTGCCTTTTAAAGACAGAATTGTAACACCTTTTAACTGTATCTCTATGAAATAAGAGTAGCATTGTCAAAAATAAAGTTCTAACATTTTATTATTTTACCCTAGGCTACTTTATTTATAACTTACTGCTTGAGAAGGATGGAAACTGTGAAACATTCCACTAAAAAGAAATTTCATAACAGGGTTCCCACAAAAATATCCTTACTCTTTCAGTGCTATGCAATGATATATCGTTAAGTGCGTCTTTTTCCTGAAAAGTAGTTCCATTTAAGTTACTTTTCCATCTAGTTGATGGAACGATATATCGTTGTTCGCGTTTCATCTGAAAAGTGCTAAGCGACGATATTGTGCCGGCGCGACTTTTGATCGTTTGAGTTTAAATGGGCAAATCTATCAGTTGACTCAGTCGTTGTTTCAAAACAGTGATGGTTTCTTTTGATTCCTCATACAATCTAGGCCTTAAGTTACTAAGTTAGCCTATAACTTATCGTTCCTTAGCACTTGAGAAGAAAAATTCATTTTTGCAGATTTTTTCTCGCAAACTAAGCTTAGACTTTGCCCCTGTGGCAAGCCTAGCACTTTTCGGACAAAGTAAAATAACTCCAACAATTTTCGGAAAATTAGGCTACCGGTACCTAAGTACGATAAAAATTCTAGCATCGAAAGGGTTAATTGAATTCACTGACCGTTTTCTCTTGATTTCCCTGACCACGGTTATTTTAGAAGCCTAACTTACTGTAAGTGAGATTTCTTAATATTTAGGTATTAAGTTAAGCAACTTATTTATCGCTTAAAAACAGCATTGATTTAATATGGCCTTCACCATCCCCATAGCAGCCCTTACACCTGCTTTTGGTTAATTTCCAATATTATAGGGAATTAGCAATTACCGCAGGTCTCATGGTAAGTTAAGACCTAATGTAGACCCAGGCCGATTTACATTTTTGTTTTTGCGAATTTGTTGAGTTCATACTAAGCTCTCAAGATTTAAATAAAAAAAAAAACACTCCTTTAAGTTTATTACATTCCATGTATAGCAGCAAACATCCTTATTAAAATGAATCTTAAGTTATTTGATTAGAAAATAATTTCAAAGGAATTAAGAAATCCAGCCAGGTAACTTAAATGGAAATTTGTTTACGCCTAGTCTGCAGGTTTGTGGCGGTGAGGGTATTAATATAACACCAAATAAGAAATCAAATTCTAAATACTTACAGCTCTTAACTAAGCAAATATATTGTAATAAAAATTAGATACTCAGATTTTTCAGAACTTGAATAATCTTTTCAGCAACTAAGTTAAGTAAGTATCTCATTTCAACATAACTAACTTAGTCATCCGAAAAATTAAAATGATCTACGACTAAGGTTTTAGTAAATTTCCCTGACTTAACACTATTCTCAAAGGTTTTTCCCTACCTTCCGGACAGTATTTTTTTTTAACTTTCCCTGACCCTCTACCTGTTTCCCTGACTTTCCAGGTCCATAGGAACCCTGCATAAGTATTTATAATTTTACCAAAAGTTTTATTCAATAATGCATTACTGAAATAAAACCATTTGATAACATAATGTACTAGGCCTATACCAAATTTGAGTTTTTTTTAGAAGCTTGATTTTGGTTTGATTCATTAAAACATTTAGATGCCAATTTTAAATAGCAATTGATACGATTTATTACTCGAGGACTGACAAAGCGAAGTAAAAATGTTACTTCAGGTTATTTTAGGAGTATTCATACCAGATAACTTATAAAATTGTCTAGTATCATAATTTTTGAGGATTTTAAAAACCTTTAAGTTTACTATATGCTAGGAAACTTGACAATAACTCAATTATTTTGAAGTAACCAAATAATACACCAAATAAGTGTACCCTAAGACTGAGTTAAGTTAGTTAATTGGCCTTTATCAACATTACTTTTAAAGGACACGTTCCATTCCCGGCACAACCACAAAACAGTTATTTAGGGTTGAATCGCTTATTCTAGAAGTTTGTGTACCTTTGATGGTGTGATAACATACCTCCTTTGAAAATTCTACAGATATAAATACGTTTTAATGAGGCAGACCATTTAAAAAATTTCACATATTTTATCTCCATATAAAAAACTATGAAGATCATGATTAAATAAATTAGCCTAAATATAGCGTGCATGGCTAGCCTTAGAAAATAATAAATTTAGCGTTGTGGTACTACCTGAGCATGTCCAAATGCTTCTTCCTGAAGTATTAAGAAAACTTGCACCATAGACATAATTTAATTTTGGCTAGAGGTTCAAAGTGTCTATTTATTGTTCATCAAAGTTTAGGGCATATTTTGTTTAGGGCACTTTTGAGGAGGAGTACGAGTGTCTATTGTAAAAAAATTATTGCCAGATTAAGCAAAAAATAGGCAGGCCTACCCAGTAACCAATTATACCCAGGGCAGAAAACCTTAAGAATTTGGTTTGACAACTCTGATACAAAATTTTGCGTGTATCTGATACAATGTTTGCATTGGGATTGGGATTATAACACTTAGAGGTTACTATTTATATGGAAAAATATTGTCTGGGTAGGCCTAGCAAAGAGGTTATAGTGCACGTCTTCAAATCATCATAGGTCATTGGTCCAATTCCTAACGAAATCATTAGGTTGCCTATGGACCCAGATGCCATTTGTAGTTGGGCTATAAATTATTTATGTTAGCTATATTCACATTGGTTGTAAAAAGACCAGGTTTTGGACCATTTCCTCAGAAAAATGCCATTTGTGTAGAAAAACAAATAAATACAGATTAAACTTGTATGACTACAAAACCTTTCACATTTATGTTCATCTCGTGTGGATTTCAGCTTCTTAATCTCAATTAGCTAAATGCATGGTGATTTTTTTAAATAAGCTTTTTGAACGGGCCAAATTTGGACTATTGTCCAATTTTAAGGGATTTAAATAATTAACTTAAAATAAATCATTAAATATTTAATATTTTATTAAATAGCCTACCAACGCATATCATTCAACATTACAAAATAAAACAAATATAAAAATATATTGCATCAATTTTGTATAAAAAAGCTAACCTTATTAATTTTGTTGTACTCAATATATTTTTATAGTAGGCCTACACAATATTTAATACAATTTACAAGCTCTTAATATAAAAAAAATTTTAACATACTATCAGTAACATCATAGCATAGACAAAATAATTAAATATAGACCGTCAGCTGTGCTGCGGTTACCATAGGTTCTGGCGAACACCGCTGGGAGCGCCATGTAGTTATGGCGTACACGCTACGTAAACTACACGGCGCTCCCAGCCGTGTGCGCCAGAAGCTATGGTAACCGCAGCATGGCTGATAGTCTATATTTAATTCTTTTTGTCTATGATCATAGCCTCCTCTAATACAAGGCCCCGGCGAGACATAAGTGGCAATGCCGCATTCCCGGCCTGAAGCAGCTGCTACAAAAATTCATAATGGAGCGTCTGCACAATTTGTTTACACGTTTTTTATTTACTGTTATTACCATGGCAATAAGCTGGCAGGTGCAATATGCCACACAACAACGATGCAGCCTTAGGTTAGAGGAGGCTATGCCCTATAGACATCTCAAATAATTGATAATACATAAAAATTAACAATGATAAATTAGCAACATCCAGCCAACAATAACTTAACTAACTTATGTGCATGTTTGTGGTTTATGATTAGCCTATATGGCATATGGACTGACTAGAGTGTTAAAGTTGCACTATTACAGTTCAATTAATAACTAAACAAATTTATAGTACAGAGCAACGTAGTATAACTAAAGGGTAAAGGCTCAATTAAACATGAGTTTACAAGCTAGCTACTAACCAGCTTTTACACGCAGCTCAATAGCGTAGTTTTCTCATCTCGTTACTTTGCTCATCACTCACCGGATTTTGAGCTGTTGCAGGAACTGGTTAGTTGCAACAGTTGTACATACTCACTGATAAGCCTGCTTTTTTACTCGTTTGCTGGTAGCTTACAGTAAACAAGCCTTGTTTAGCCCCTCCAAGTGACATGCAATATGTGCATCATTGCCATTGAAATGCTACACTTTGATTGGTTGTTGTTTTCATAACTAGGGTATTGGTTTAACGGGATAGGAAAAACTAATATAATAAACTGTTGTGTAGGCAAAATAATATCGTTATCAATTACAGTCTTCATTATTTGGACTAGCTAATATGACTGGGACCGTGTCGTCCTGTAATCCAGCTACTTGGAGGTCACAAATTGTGGATATTTTATAGGCATGATATCAGTGCCGGATTTACCACTAGGTCCATAGGGCCGCAGAGGAAACCACCAGTTTGCCGCGATCACAAGTGACCATAATGATGTCTCCGCGCACCGAGATAGATGATCTTGATTGTGCCGTGGCCGCGGATGATGTCCCCGTTATTGAGTCCTCATGATCGCAGTCCACGGGAGACGTTCAAGAATTAGCCGCTGTCGCAAGTTAACAACGATGATGTCCCCGTGATTGCGGCCCGCGGGAGACGTTCACTATTTAGCCGTGGTGGCCGCGGGTGACGGTGATGTATAATTTCAATTTTGTAGATAATTTCAAGAGCAGAAAATGTTATGTTTAAAGTCAAGACAGACACTGGACTCACTTGGACTCGTCACTCAGACCAAATACTTCCCTTACACTAAGGGGGGAGATTTGATGTAATTAAACCTTCCCGACAGGAACACCCCCCACCACCGCGTGGCTCTCATGGCGTGACGTCAGTCTCATCTCTTGAGGGAACACCATTACCGCAACGATACGGTGAAAAGCCATCTGCCTCGTTGGTGTAGTGGATAGCGTACCAAGCTGATGAACCAGTTCAGCTATGTGGCTATGCTCGGTATGATTCGGTAACGTTTGGCACGGCGCGGTGGTGGGGTAGACTGATCGAATCCTGTCAAAGACACTAACTTTTTGTCAATGATTTAGCTTAGAATGTGATTATGTTACTTCTTAACTGTACGTCTTTTTTTAGAATATGAGGCATTTATAATTTTATTTTATGAACAGAACTATTTTTTCGATTGGTAAACCTTCATTCAATTTTTTCATTATCAGCAAGTTTGGTTAGGTTATGACAGTTTAATTAAACTTAAATTCAACCTACAAACGAATAAAACGATACTTTTGACAGCGACAGTGATAGAGATATTAATTTGCCGTGAACAGTTCAGCTATGTGGCTATGCTCGGTATGATTCTGAAGCGTTTGGCACGGCGCGGTGGTGAGGGGTGTTCCTGTTGGGAACGTCTCGTGTTGATGTATAGTTTAGTTATGTTATTCTTACAAACATGTGTTAATTAATTTATTATTTACTATCAGAGGAGCTGTCCTTCGTCCGGGGTTGATGTATGTTTGATAAAAAGTTATTCATTATCAGAATAGAACGTGAAATCTACAGGAAGTGTCAAAAGTTATAATATAGATAGGTAGTAGCTACCTCTGGATTAGAAAACATCATAACTAATCTATGGGTAGTAATATGAAATTATGATTTAAAAATGTGTGAAAAGGCAAATGGTGTGAACAACACTTCTCTCAAAATGGCAAAAATATACAATTAATTATATCCTTGAGAAAAATTTCAATTTTTAAGGTGTGTGTGTCCTACTCTAAATATATTTTAAGTGTCCAAAAATGTTAAAATGATTCAAGTAAATGTGACTTTATAATTTCACTATTTTTTACACCAAAATCTTTCAATACAATTATTCACATTAGGGAATTTTAAAATAATTAATTAGGGTTGGATACAGAAACAGATATACAATCTCACTTATTTCATGAAATCAATAATCAATGAACCATCAAATATAAGAATAAATAAACATGTCACATGATCGTAGAGAATATTATATGCCTATTTATAAACCAGCTGTTGAATTGTGAATTAATGTGGTTTGACAGTTCAGCTTGTTTACATTTGGGTGGCATAGCAAATTTCAAACATTGTATGTGTACTCATGGCAGCCATGGAGACCAATCAATATTTACTTTTAAAATCCTCACCTCAGAACTTTTAAAGCCAAAGGGGCAAAGCCCACGGTCAGTATCGAAGTGTGAATAGTCCTATAAACAGGGCCGGTATAACCCATACGCGAACTACGCGGCCGCTTATGGCGCCAACAGAACACAATTTATCATAGTGAACAACGTAATTTTGTTTATTTTCGCCCAGAGTTCAAGTATTCAAAGGAACACAATAAAGACATTTATTCTGTTTGTACCAACATCACTTTAAAAATTTGTATATTTGTACAGCACTACAACTCAAGGACTCAATGCCATTTGCAGTTTCGATTTGTAGTGAGCTGACGCTCGGCAGCCGGCAGCGTGAGCGTACAGCGCGGCGCCTGTGGGGGTTTCATTTCATGACTCATGCTCGAGATAAGCAAGCACGCAGCTTGTCACAACAAGAAACTTCCCCCTCCCTTCTACCTCTGATAACTCTCCCCTCCTAGAGCAGAGCATTACATTGTATTGCACTCTTTTAGTTGTATACGAGTATATGTATACCGTATCGGTATCGTATTGGTATTGTTTCTATGATTCATGATTGTTGATAAGTGAATTTATAATTAGTGCATTAAATAAGAAGAAAGTATTATAAACTATATGAATGAGTAAAACATCTTGCAAGCCGATACTAAGAAAACAATGGCAGAAAATAGAAACCGTCGGGTACTTATTATAGAAAAAAATCCTCTCTTGTCATCTAACTACACCTGTTTTTCATTGTAATAGGCTTTATAAAAACTTATATCGTATCCAAGTTATCCTGTAAATATTGTTTTCACATTTAGAATTGTTAACTTTGGGTTTTGCCAAGCTAATGTTTATATGATGAGTAAAAGTGTAAAGTGTTAAATTTCTGTGAATAATAAACAGTCTTTTATTGCAAGTATTCTTCTAACCTAAACTAAACTTATAAACAAGTTTCACAAATAGAGTTATGTTCAAGGGTTGTGGGGGGTGGGGGGGGGGAATTCTAAGTGGCGCTGATTCGGGTGTTCGCTTAACTCTGAAAAATTCCTAGAACCGGCCCTGCCTATAAAGGTCCTTGGTATAGTAGCTATATTTTTGTAAAATTTAAGCCCAGTCAGTTCAGTAGTTTATAAAACAACAGTTTAGTATATCAAAGTGTTTTTGTACGGTTATAAGTAACGGATAAAATTTAAAAAATTATAAATTTAAAATTCCAATGTTATTCTTAAGGAGAATATTGTAAAATGTTGTAGTTTGCTTGTTTATGGATATATTTTAATAAAACTTGGCAAATTATTTTACACTAAGCTATTAATATTTTAGGTAATTATATCGACCTCCGGACCTCATGCGAAATTAACATTTTTTTTCAAAATGGTCGAAATTTCACGCTGATTTCAAAAATGATTGTCGTTTTTTTCGGAAACGTCCTGTTTTCCCAGAAAATGGGAATAACGGGAAAAATATTTTTTTGCTCAAAACCCATGGTGTGGGTACTCAAATTATGCGGAACTTCCTCCTGAACAAGAATATGTAGTTTTTATTACCATCGCTTTTTAGTAAAATATCACCGGACAGGTTAACTAACCTAACATAACCTAACTTAGGTTTAGATTAGGTTAGTTTAGGTTAGGTTAAGTTAGGTTGGTTTAGGTTAGGTTAGTCTAAGTTTGGTTAGGTTAGGTTAGGTTAAGTTTGGTTAGGTTAGGTTATGTTATGTTAGGTTAGTTTACTTACAATACTCATGTTATTAATAAACTAACCCAACCTAACCTAACTTACGAACTTAGGTTAGGTTAGGATAGGTTAGTTTAGGTTAGGTTAGTTTAGGTTAAGTTTGGTTAGGTTAGGTTAGTTTAAGTTAGTTGACTTAGTTTACTTACAATACTAACCTAACCTAACCTAAACCAACCAAACCTAACCTAACTTAAACTAACCTAACCTAAACTAACTTATCCTAACCTAACCTAACTTAAGTTCCTAAGTTAGGTTAGGTTAGTTTATCAATAACATGAGTATTGTAAGTAAACTAACCTAACCCAACCCTAAGCTAACCTAACAAAACTCAACCTAACCTAAACCAACCTAACCTAACCTAACTTAACCTAACCTAACCTAACCTAAACTAACCTATCCTAACCTAACCTAATATAAACCTAAGTTAGGTTATTTTAGGTTAGTTAACCTGTCCGGTGATGTTTTACTTAAAATGGATCGTAATAAAAACTACATATTCATGTTCAGGATGAAATTCCGTACAATTTGAGTACCCACAACATGGGTTTTGAGCAAAAAAGAATTTCCCCATTTTCCCGTTTTTCGGTGATATTTTACTTAATAGTGGTCCGATCGTAATAAAATTTACATATTCTTGTTCAGGAGGAAATTCCGCATAATTTGAGTGGACAACATGGGTTTTGAGCAAAAAAATATTTTTCCCGTTTTTCCCATTTTCCAAGAAAACAGGACGTTAAAAAAAAAAACTACAATCATTTTTGAAATCAGCGTAAAATTTCGACCATTTTGAACAAAAATTCGCGTGAGGTCTGGAGGTCGATATAATTACCATTTTGTACTAAAAAAACCCCACAGTAGTTTCCTTGTAGCAGCAAACCTAGGTACTCGTTAAACCTAATATTATTTAAATAGATTTAATTAAAAATCAATTCAGACAAATGGAAATTCGCTTAGTCGGCAGGTTTGCTGTGGCGGGGGTATTTATATAATAGTATAGATTTATAAACCAGCTGTTGAATTGTGAATTAATGTGGTTTGACAGTTCAGCTTGTTTACATTTGGGTGGCATAGCAAATTGCAAACATTGTATGTGTTCTCATGGCAGCCATGGAGACCAATCAATATTTACTTTTAAAATCCTCACCTCAGATCTTTTAAAGCCAAAGGGGCAAAGCCCATGATCAGTATCGAAGTGTGAATAGTCCTATAAAGGTCCTTGGTATGGTAGCTATATTTTTGTAAAATTTAAGCCCAGTCAGTTCAGTAGTTTATGTGCCTAGTAACAAACATACAGACAGACACCACTAGATTTTTATATAATAGTATAGATGTTTATCATTTTTTGTAAATTAGAAAGGATTCAGAAACCTAATGTGTATTTTGAATTGAATCTTATTTAAATATACAATAGTATTGATAGTTTCCAGAAATAGGCCATAGCACTTTGGAATGTCTACGTTAAGTATTTATGAAGTGAATAAAGATGTTCCTTTGAAAGTTTCAACACAAAACCATGTCTTCAACCTTTAACTATGTATAGGAACTTCAGTATCCTAAAGACAATATGATTCAACTTCAACTAATAAGTTAATCTACACCTAAAGCTACAATCAGTAAGATATGAATATTGAGACCATTAAAATAGGTAGGTAGCCTTAGAGCTTGTGGGATTTCTAACATCTCTCAATCCTCTATCTTTTCTCTTTTTTTCAATCTTTATCTTTCACTAACCTCTGATTTGCCCAAGGAACTTTTAATAAAGGATCGTCCAAAAGGTTTCAAAGGCATGTAACAGTTAGCCACTCTAAACATAAGTCTTGTCATTTTATGGGCTTCGGTGATAACAAAGTTTTGACTAATCTGACCAACTATTCCAGGAATTCTCAGAAAAATTTTTCAGCCATTCTCAAACCCCAATATGTCTAAAGTAAGTTATAATACTGTACTTAAAAAGTACGATTGTTTACAAAATGACTTCATAAAAACTTGATTGTCACCTAAATAATCCCTGTAAACAGTATGAAATACATGTTATCTTTAATAGAATACTTCTTAAAATATGTTCTTCTCTGGTTTGCTGATGTCAGGACGCCATAGCTACAAGTTCTGCAGCTTCCTTGGGAGGGTTGTATATACAGCGCTTTTCTGCAATAAAATGTTAAATATCATTAGTAAGTTTAAATTTGTTAGTGTTTGATATTTAGACAATGGTTAAAGAAAAGCTGAAACATGTATATTGAAGAAGTAGGTTCTTCTTTAACTATGTTTGTTACTTTTATGATAAAATGATTCAAGAAACTGACAGGAAATAGAATTTAATAGGTACAAGTGGTCGTCCAGTGGTTGAAAACTCTGCCAAAAATATGTCATGTAGGCGAGTGAAAATTTGAAAACTTATGTTTTCATGTCCCTGGCATTTTACTTCGTAGATACTGGATTTGTAGTTTATTATTATGTGTTTAATATTTGATGGGACGGGGTCGTTTGGGGTCGACTGGTTTGTGCCAGTCGTTTTATGTTGAAAGAAGTAGTTACAAGATTAATAAAGGTAAGTTTGTGTTTTTTGTAATTTTGGTGTGTCCATGACCGTACGTAGTCATTTGATGAAGTAGACGTGGTTTTAATTTTTGTTGATATGATATTTCAATTGCTACATTAACCTAGAAGTCCACTTTGTATCCTCGAACATGAGGTGCAGGGCTACCGCCAGAACAGAGCCAAATAACACGTGATGTCACGACCAAAGTTTCACGACCATCGCAGGTTTTTTCAAGACCAATCCAGCCTTATGGATTATACTGTGTTTGGTCATGACAATAACTTTAATATCAATATCATTGTAAATTGATCAGTTTAGTTAAATTGAAACACATGTTTTTATTATAACTAACAGTATAGTTGAAGGATTGTTTAGAAAGATTTAGATTATTCCAGACAATTCACGACCGTACCACTTGTCCCTGACCATCACGTTGACGATTTCTATCAAAAAATGTAAAAAATTTAAATATCAACATATTTTAATGATTTATACACAAAAGAAGCAAACCTCTACAAAAACATAACAATTTTTCAGGTCTCAGGTAAGTGTTTTCGGAGTTATACAAACTTAAAAGATTTTATTGGCTTTTTTATACTTTTTTAGTTTTTTTTAATTTTCTCTAGAAAGACCAAATATACCAAAAGCTTAGTGAGCTGTTTATTGTATAATGGCCATAAAAGTAAATTCATTTATAGCAAAACATAGTTATACAAATAATATTAAACTATTTTTAATATTCAGTTTTATGTCCGCGATGGTCGTGACAAAATTTTGTGTTTCTCCATCAAAGATGCTCGATTTATAAAAAATCACCAAAGATATTGCGTTACCATGGACATTTTATGAAACTTCAAATGTCAATGAAATAAAAAAAATAAAAAAAGTTTCAAAAAACGGAACAACAAATTTTAAAAGTGCTCTTCCTGAAAACGTACGTTTTTAAATTTTCACTCAGGTACCCTCATTGAATATTTTATACTGAAGAAGACATTCCATTTATATGGACCAGTTGTTGCCATTTTTTAAATAAAAACATGTAGTTGTGTGAACCATTCACAGTGTGCTTGTCTAAAGTTATATTTTCTATCTTATTTTTTGTTGCTGACATTTTTTATTGATGGGTCATAACAGTAGCTCTTAATAAGTCATTCCATAAGTTTGACTTGGTAAAAACCATCGTATATTCAAGAGAAATTTTCATTTAGATCAGCGCAATTTGTTGGTGGCTCACATCAACTACGACGAATTTAATTGAAACTGGCAACAACTTTAACATAGGGATGGAATGTCAGTTGTAAGTCAAAGGTACAGGCTTCTCTATTTTCACCCCAAGCTGTAAATAAAACATGTGATTGTAATTTCTTCCATTTGTTTTGATTTCTCGTTGTTATTTCTTCACCAGCATGGCAATCCATAAAACCCTTGTTAAATTTTTTAAATTTAAAATCCATTTTTTGGGCTTATATTTGAGCCTATTTGAATTTTTAAAGGGATTCTACACTTCTACAGGAAAATATCTTCCTAACGGTACGTAGATTTTCCCTGTGATGCACACGAGGTGAGAAAAAAGGTTTTAAAGAAACATGCTTGCCTATTAATATGTAGATAGATGACAAAAACATTAGTGTATAAATTACAAAAACCAGGAATGAACTAATTTGGTAACTATGGAAACTTATTAGAATAAATAAAAACAAAATTTAGACTATTTAAAACAAATCATTGTCCACCTGGTTTTGAACAGTCTATTGGTGCACTCACCACATATCTATTTATTTATCACCATTAATGTAATCTAGAGGCATTAAATTGCAGAAGGTTGTGAATTGTCAAATACAAGAAATCAATTACATCAAAATTCCATTAATCTGAAGTAGAAGTACTTGGGGATCCAGTTGTCAAAATTAATGTCGCAATGAAAGAAAGGCAGCACTATTTTAGAACTTTTAGGTTTATCTTGTGTACCTATAACCCTCCGAGTGTTATGTGTCATAAAAGCGACTTATAACACATCCGCTGTAGTGTTATGTGTCGCTTTTGCGACTCACAAACACTGTTTACGGCGACGTATAACATCAGCTTGTCTATTGTTTACGGCGACGGCTCTGGGACTGACTGAATCGGATTGAACTGGATCGAGTTAGGTATAGTTTTTTTCAGCAGATTCAGAGCTTTCTCCTGATGTCTGTTTCTATACGCTTTTCATTTTAGTTCCGTAAATATTGTAGTAGACAGCTGACGTGCGTATTTGTAAACAGCTTGGTTAACCTCGCACCGAAGACTGATGTGTTTTATTACGTTTATCATTGTTTTAGTGTTAAAAATCAAAAGTAGTGATATACGTGGTGCATTATAAGAAGATTTAAGTCATTTTGAAGGGCTGGTTGATGATCCTGAAGAAGTAGGTAGTGATATTGATGTAAATTATCAGCCAGATTCCTAGCTATTAACATTAAGAACATTAAGGCTATGCATTCTTTGCTAAACGCTATGTACCGAAATCTGTTTTTTGCCCATAACTTATTTATTTGCAAACCTACTTCCTTATATTATTATATTTTTGGAATCCTCATAAAATTTTGAACAAAGTGGCTATTTTAAAATATTTGTAGACCTATAAATTATAACAAGTTATTGAGCGCAAACATAATTTTTTTTCATTTATTTTATAATTTTTGAGAAATGTTAACCCCACAAAAATTGTTGAACATTTTTTTTGTAATGTTTTATATGTTACATTGAAGCCCATAATTTTCCAAACAAAATGATATATAAAATAGTATACTTTACATTGTTTTTAAGTTTCTAAGATACATTTTAATAAAACCCTGCGATTGCGCAATAAATGGGCGAACATTAAGACCAAAACTAGAGACACTTGGAGGGTGAGAGACACTTTTTACACACAACATAAGCTATGTTTAAGCTGATATTACAGAGCTAATAGTAATCATTTCAAAGGTATGTAGAGGCCTACACCTAATTTTGTTTTCACTGGTGTGATTGCACAGAGACTATTAGGCCAGACTAAACCAAATGTCGTGTTCCCAATTTATGTATTTTATAGTGATGTATTTCTTTCTCGCCTGTATGCAATTTTTACAAACTGCTTTAAATGCCTTTCTGGACAAACGCTGTAAAGTCCGGATAAATTTGCGTTTAGCAAACTGTAGGCCTATATAGAACTTAAAATATCCAATAAATAATATAGGCTAATACGAGTAATGTTTGGGTGTACAATGATTTCAAAAATAGCTACAAAAATTTTCTGCAAATTGTTAGAAATGAGAGGGTTGTTTTATAAGTAAGAGCTGTTTTTGCGTACAGCCCTGTAGTTTGTGTGTATCAATCAATCAATCAATCAATCAAATAAATCTTTATTCAACACATACAAAGAAAGAGTACATGAATGTGTACAAGAATATTTACTGCAATTTCTCATACACAATATTTTACATAATATTATTTGTTCACAGTTGAGAAATAATTAAAAACGATTTCATACATTAGCCCAAATCAACTATACAACAAAAAACATGTTTAAGTTATGTTTTTATGAATTCTCCTTAATTGCCTATAAAACTCAAGGTCAATCAGAAATCTTTTAATTTGTTTTTGAATTTGTTTAAGTTTTCCTTATTTTTTATACAAGGGAGGGAATGAATGAATTTAATTTCAACATAATTCCAACTTTTCTAGAATTTATTTTTTATGCTTTTAATGATAAAGTTTTGTTTGTTTCTTGTGTTGTAATTATGTATGTCTTGCTGTTTTAGTAATTTTGACTCATGGTTTTTAACGTGCAATATTGTTTTATAAATGTAGAGGACGTAAACTCTCAATAATCCAATTCTCAGAAATCATTTAAACAAGATACATTTTTATCAAGGTTAAGGATGCATGTTATAGCTCCTTTTGTAAATGTAAAATTGTATTTAAGTTTGCACTTACTTGTTCCTCCATAAATCTCTATTCCATAAGAAATATGAGATTGTATGTTGGTAAAGTAAACTGCTTGCAAAAAATATCTACTGCACAATGGATATAGGCGTCCAAAAGGCGGTTCACCGTTTACTGGCATCATTGGTGAACACATGGCTCCATTTTCAGCTCTATAGCTGACGTGAATGTTTCGCTGTTTTTTTAAATCGTAAAATCTTCCGCCACATGCGAGATAAGGTGAGTGATACATATTTTGTTTTGACCACAAGAAACATATTCGATGCCAACATTCATTGTCAGATGACTGAGGGTTATGGCCATAATGCAAAGAATGAGGATTAAGTGCGAAAATGGGTTGGGGTAAATATGATTGACCGTGAAAACCTTTTTCCTTTGTGGTGTTCTGTGAGAAGTCTGGGTACCCAATCAAAACACAATTACCTCCAAAATGGGTATTTTTAACCATTTTTGCACTTAACCCTCTATTATTGCATTAGGGAGAAAAAACTTCACAAATTTCTTGGCGATAAATTTTCAGCCTAAATGTTTCTTACAGTCAAACATATATCACTGACCTAATCTCGCATACGGCAGGATGTTCAATAGTTTTACAAATTTAAAAAACACACAGTGAAGTATAGATGTAAGCTACAGAGCTGCC